ATATATATATATATATATATATATATATAACACTTACCGTATATATATTAACACAATACCATACAAATGCCCTCAGTTCAGACAACATGGAAACAAGTTGTTTGTGCTCCTCTCAGAATGCAGAAAAAAACATAACAGAGATAATTCCTTTTTAGATTCCACTGGAACAATGCCCAGACAATGCCCTGATAGTGATGGCCCATTATAAAACCTGAAAATGGTCAGTTCACTAAATCTTAATGCATAAGGTGTTTTTAATAATATAGTCTTGGTTCAAAAAGTTAAAATGCTAGGAAAAGAATCCACTTTCTAAAATAATGGGAAAGCTATAGCTAAAAGGACCCTGATCCTTGAATTAAAGCTTTGTGAATTGAGCCTTGTGCATATATCTAACTTATGTTAACATATTTAATTATTCAGTTTTCAGACCCTTGATGTGCCTATTTTCAAGCTTCACATACTGTTTATACATTTTAAATAGTGCAAGCTGCTGAAACATTTGTACATAGGTGGCATGAGTTAGCACTTCTGGAGAATGAAGGAAAAGTGCACAGATATGGTCACGTTTTCTTCATGTTAGAACAAGATTTCATTCTGTGCAGCAAATGGATTTAATCCCTCGGAGATTGTGAAAATAAGACATTATCTGGTACAACAAATGGAATACCTCAGCAAGTAACCAGAGCTTTTATAGAGCTCTTCACACCAAATAACATGTGTCCCATTGGATAGACAATCTTGATGTCTTCTGCATCATACATTACGGCATAAATCAAGTCAAAGTTTTTTTGGATAATTCTAATTTTACAAGTTTTTTTTTTTTTTTAAAAGGCTTGATATCAATCTATTGACCCTGTACAGTCCAGTTGCCACAAATCTTTAGGGCTTATTCACACCTATGCGAATGCATTCTGCATGTGGTTTTTTTACACATGTTGGTGTTAATTGTCCTTATAGTTAGTCTTTAAAACCCCTTGAACTGCAGTGCAAGGATGTGAACCAGTCACATAGAAAAGCATGTGATTTCTGCTTGAAATGCAGTTTCAAGCAGTACATTCTTTCAGTTATGAGAAGAAAAAGAACTATGCATATGTATGCATCACATCTTTGTTTTACAAGAATTTTATTAAAAGGTTAACAAATTAATACAAATGTCAACAGCTTAGATGTAGCAGAAACAAAGAAAAGGACATGCATAAAACCAAGAATATGTAAATGAACTAAGGTAACAGCCTGGACGTTACCGACAAGTAATGAAACAAATGAGGTTAACTAGAGATCAGACTTATTAGCAAAAGAATAAACATTGAAGCGCCAACCCCAACAAAAGACATTCCGCAGCAGCCATAGGGCTCAGGGGGATATGTCAACAGCAGGTGGTTTAGGTTGCTAGGGCAGATATCACCTGATGCAGGTAGCAGTAAATACAAAAGATAGGCCAGGAAAGAAAAAAAAAGAAAGTAGTAGAGTAGTAAAGAAACAAAGAGAAGAAAGAGAGAAAAGGCTACAGGGGCCGATGGGTGACAGAAGGCTTTGCGTCATTAGGTGGAGAATAGAGCGCAGATATGAAAGAGTGATGAAAAACCACACCCTGGCCAGCACTTCCACGGTAGCATCAAGGGGAACCCCCGGGGGCAAACTTAGAAATGTTGTCACGTTGAGTCATGCAACAGAACAACAACTTATGAGCCTTTTCCTGAGATAAAATGTTAGGTGAGCATTTGGCTGGGGGGA